TTGCTAAAAATTACTGGCTTAAATCTGTGTAAAGAAATCTGTCTTTTTATTGTTTCTTTCTTGTCTGTTTTTGCGGTCTTAAACAACAACAAAAAATCCTTAAAGAATCCTAAGACATGCTGGCTTGGAGCTTCTGTGTACAATGGAGGCAGGCGAGAGAGGGGCACATGTGAGTGTCGAGGATGTGTGTTTTGTTCGTTTTGTTTTCTCGTGTTGTGCTGTTCACTTTAGGAAGGAATACTCATCAGTTGTGTGTGTGTGTCTTGTGGGCTCCCATCAGCCTCCTTTGGGCATCTTGCTGACCCCTCCCCACTGTACGCTGATCCACCTGCAGTCATCAGAGCAGGGAGGGTGCAGAGCACACGCTCATCAGAGCACTGTGGCTGTGGCCTGACGCTCTTCCCAGAGGAGGCGAGAAGGAAGTCAAACTGAAGAACTCACGTGGAGAGACCTTGAGATCCGTACAGGCTGCTGGAGAGTTCCAAGATTCAGAGCTGAGCTTGTGTTTCTGGTTTCTGGGAAGAGGACTGCGGTTTTGGTAGTGCTGGTTGCCTCTATGCCTTTGAACTTGGGAAGTTGTTGAACAGACCGAGTCCTATCATGCAGAGATGCCACTTAGGTCTATCGTCGCCTCTGCTCGGAGCCCAGGATTTGCCCAGAAGGACCAGTGGCCAAAGGGAATCAACCCTGAAGTGCCAAGAAGCAGGCAACTGCCTACCTGAATCAAGACCCTTCGCCTCCAGAAAGGCGTGGTGCCACACGCTTGGTGGTCTTCAGCTGGACACATCTGAGGGCTGGGCTGCTCTGCCGCTGGCGGTCAGGATGCCGACATGTTTGTCCCCACCACGTGCACCGGATATGAAGAGACAGCAGGCCCTGAGCTCCCCATCTGAGAAATGGGGTGCAGTACATGTGTCTGGGTGTCAGCCTGTGGAGAGAGTTATGCTGGCTCTACCTGGTTCCCCGTTTGGGTTTGGGCTCTAACGGTGCCACCGTGGCGTCTTCCCAGAGTTCCCTGGTACTGAGCACTGGTCTGAGATCAGGGAACACACTGATGATGTGCGATAGCCTCCCCGAATGCGTCTGTTAGCTGTGCCAGCCAGCCATCTGAGCCTGTGGGTGCTTCTTTCTGAGTCCTGAGCTGGTTACTCTGCAAGGATTTTAGGGTGCAGGGACTTGACTGGGTGGGAGACTGTGTCTGGGAGTGCAGAGGGAGGTTGGGGGGGTTGGGCAAGTTTGAGATTTTTGTTGCAAATCCTTTATTAGAGTTGGGCCTCCTCTCTCCAGCGGCAGGCCTGCCTGGCGAGTGTTCTTTGTAGATACCTGTGGTGCCGAAGGGGTATCGGGGTGGCCTTGAGACTGATCCAGGTTCAGCCAAGCCCATTGAAAGTCCTCCAGGGGGTGGCTCTGACGGTTCTTGCCTAATATTTAATCCCATCATCACTCGCAGGAAGCGTAGTTAGAATGTGTGTATCAACCTGTGTCTTGGTGACCAGTCTCTGAGCTGTGCGTTTGTACTACCACTGTATTTGTGTACTTTAACAATTGTGTAAATAATAAATTCATAATGACTTCTACCTTTCTTCCCTTCCCTTTGTGTGGTTTTTCTTTCAGCAACTGAGTTTTCAGAATGTGTAAGCCACATGAAAGTTAACTTGGTGTGGGTGACAGCTGAGATTAAGACAGTCTCTTTCTGTAGCCCAGGCTGTCCTGGAACAGTCCTGCCTCAGCCTTCTATTGGTGTTAGAGACCCAGGAGAGCTAGGTCCAGGGTGACGTCCTCCTCATTCTTTTCTCAGCCTGTGGGTATTGGAAAACTAGTTGGAGTAGGTGTCAAGGACTCTGGTATGCAGTTCAGGGATACTGTGACAGTTCTGTGAGCCCTTCTCTCACCTATCCCACATAGCCCTCTGAGCTGGTGCCCCATTGGAGGGGCAGGGAAAAGCTGTCAGACTGCTGTAAGTAGGTCTGTTCCTGCTGTGGAGACCTGTCCTCTTGGGAATTCTTATCTGTGTCCTACTTGGAGGCTCAGTTTTAACAGTCAAGTGCTACCAGGATTTATGGCCAAAACCCACTTGGTATTTCTCTGTATGTGACAGGTGTTGACTTGCTAGAGAGGGGACCTCCCCCAATCATGCCTGAGTTCTTGCTCCTCTAACCCCCATCCTCTTCCAAGCTGCTCTTCAGCCTTTCTGTCTGTACCCTGAGCATCCCAAATTGGCTTCTGGCCTGCTTGGTGGATCCCAGGACTGCTCAATTCTGTCCCTCATTAGCTAGGGCCGTGGCTCTCAACCTGTGGGTCACGACCCCACTGCCAACCCTCTCTCCAATACATAACAGTGGCAAAGTTAGTTATGAAGTAGCTGGGACACAGGTGCTATATTAAGGGGTGGTGGCATTAAGAGCCACTGAATGGGAGGTGAAGTATTAGTGCCAGCTCTGCCTAGCGCTCCCCCTGTTGCAGCCTGGCATGGGTCCCTATGAACATTCCACTGTTAGATACTTCTCGCCTCTCCTGGAAAGGTCTTGTGCTAGAAGTGAAGTCTGGGTAGACTGCACTGGAGACTGGGGTCCCACAAACGGCTGGTTGTGCATCTAGGCCCAGCCTAGCTTCCTCAGATGGCGCAGGGTCAGTAGCTACTGGCCATGAGGCTCCTACTCTGACTCACACCCTGACCTTTGTTCTCTGCCAGGAGTAGGGTACGGGATTGAGGGGACGGACCCAGTGAGGTTGGCAGTGCTGGCCTCTGAGCCTAGCTCATTTGGCTCTGAGTTGGGGGTGATGGGATATCCGTTTCCCTTACTGCAAGCCCAATTATGGATCACAGGATACTAAATACAGCCTTCCCTTGGCACTCCACTCAGCCCCTGCAGGGCAGTCTGTGTCCTTTGGTGTCTCCAGCTGCATTCAGAGGCCTCACACATCACCTGCTTGGGCTGGGCACCGCTCTAGGTTCCCCAGCAGCAATACTTTGAGGACTGTGTTTCCTTCTGTTCAATTGGAAACTATCTCAGTGCAAAAACGCACAGATAAAACTACCTGCTCATTACAGGGTCCAGAAGCTGTCACCCTAGGGTGCAAGTGGGGTCCCACCAGCACAGACAGGCTTGGGAGGGCCCTCAGGGCTGGTCACCCAAAATCTTCCTTACGAAGACGATCACTGGGGATCTCTTCCCTATAAAGAAGTGTCTTCGTAAAAAAAAAAAAAAAAAAAAAAGTCCCAACATCCTAACAGTGATTGCTTGTGTGCATGAAGCCAGACCATTTTGCCATTTCCTGACTGCTTCTTATTCTCATAGACCACATGCCCTGGGCGCAGGTGTGGGAAGAACAAAGAGGAGGGGCAGCATGACCTCTTCCCCCAGGGTGATACAGCTTAGTGAGGGTCTGATCAGTGCAGATGGTTCTAGAAACAAGTCCTCCCTGTGCCCAGCCCCAAGAGCCACTCTCAACCAGTGATTCCACCAGTGTAATTGCTGAGGTTCACCCAGAGGCCGACTGAGAGTGGGCAGAGCAAGCTATGTTCCCTGAGGCCCAGTGCCTCTGCCCCACCACTTTCTCTTTCCCTCTAGTTTCCAGGGGCAGCTGCTAATGGCCACAGTCAGAGCTTAGCCTGTTTGGAAGCCTGAGGTCCTGCCATTCCCACTCACTCTGGTGGTTGGCAAATCAGAGACTCCAGAATGCATGTGACCACAGCTGACCTCCTAAAGGGAACAGAAACACCAAATGGGAGAGGCACCCCAGTGTTGAGACTGGGTCAGAGTTGCAAGGCCTTGACCTCCATGTGGGGCTTAGCAGGACCAGACCCACCAGGGGGTATGGGAGGCTGGGCCCAGATAAGAGCACTCGCCTCCTTTTCCTTGCAGAGGAGCAGGGACGTGGCATCTCTCCGGCTGCATGCGGCCCGCCAAGGTGCCCGCTGCCGTCCCCAGCGCCCACGACGAACCACCTACTGAGGCGGCCCCAGCTTCTGACCGGGCTTCCAGCCACGCAGGCCGCCACTGGCCACAGGGCAGGTGGGTGCGAGGTGCCCAGGGCGAACCCAAGTGCTGAGCATGGGCTGGACAGAGGAGGACGGGGAACAGAGATCAGCAGGCGCTGACCACAGAGAGAAATTTACCAGCCCTCCAGAGGGGCGAATAAACGGAAAGGCAGGAAATTCACGCTGGAAGCCCACACACAGTGAACGTAGCTTATGGCACATCTCAGCTTAGTCTCCTCAGCCCTGGGGGTTCCCCATGGCCTCCAAGTGCCACCCAGGCACCCCTCTCTAGCATGGGGCTCTCCCTCCCTCGGTATTCCCCTCGCCCCTTTTCTTCCTGCCATACGAATGCTGTGGCTGCTGAACAAACCCCAGAGGCCGCAGAGAAGGTGACAGCAGGCAGAACTGGGAGAGCTAATGAAGATGTCAGAACCACTTTTTAAGAATCAGCAATTTGTTATTTAACAAAGGTGGGACTTAGGGTGAACAGACCACTGCCCAGAAACAGACAGCTCCTGGAGACAAGCCCTCTGGCGCTCCTCCTGCACACAGGACTATCTCCACCATGTCAGACAGAAGGAGCTCTTTGCTAGACAACAGAGGGCTGGAGATGGGGATAGGATCAGGGAGGACCCTGCCGGCAGCACCCACCTGCCAGCACCCACCTGTCCCAGCCCTGCCATCTGATTAAAGTCGTGTTGTCTCCTAAGTGTGGGTTTCTAGGTCCTTGGCCACAGTGGGGGGCGGGGGAGGCACAGGCCGCTTGGGCTCAGCAGGCTGGGTCCCTTGTCCCTGGTGTAGGCGGCTGGTAACCGTGGGACTCCCTTGGCTTCACCGCAGATCCACTTTGGAATGACACGGTTCCCACCCTGCCACCTCTCCCCGCAAAACACTGACCGTTGACCAGGCAGCCAGAGCTGAGCCGATGGCCCCGCCTCAGCTGGTCCTGTTTGTGAAATAAATATGAGCGTTGCCAGTCTCTGGACCTCTTCCCTGCTCCCTGCCCGCCTGGCCAGGCCACTCACACGCTGGTTTCTGGGGTGTGAACCACCTCCCCATTTTTCTCAGGCTGTTCCTTCAGGAAGTGCTCCACCTCCCTCGAGTCCACCCCCACGTCCACAGGGGGCTTATGGAGCGTGTCCTCTGAGGCTGCCACCTCAGGCTGTGTCACCTCAGGCCTCTTCCTGATGCAGAAGAAATTGCCCAGCAGCAGCACAAGGGAGGAGGTGAGCACCTCAGCCCCGGCCAGGATGAACACATACTTGTAAACTTTGGTTGCATCCAGCAGCTTGCCTGCAAAGAAGACTCAGGTCACCAGAAGCTCCTGGGAGTACCCTGCTTCCACCCGGGGCCAGGGCTCCCTCTCCCAGCATTGAGGAAATGCCTCACACTCCTCCATCCCCAGCAGCATCTGCTCAGCCCTCTCTAGCCTTCTCTTCCTTTTCCTCCTCCCCATGAGAGCAAAGAATAGATAGAAGTGGCCTTGAGGTCTCTACCCCCCTTCCCAATCACAGACCCCTTAGGAAGGACCCCAAGGCCATTCTTGGAGAAAGAAGGAGTAAGAGACCCAGGTCCAGGATGGCTAGGCTGTCCTCGCCAGCCAAAACCATTCTCAATTTCAATGGAGTGTTTTTCGGCTGGCCTTCAGAAAGTAAAAGGACCAAAGTAACAAATCTTGCCCCATTCCCTTGAAAGCTGCCCCCACGTGGTATGCAGAAGCCTAAAGAAGCTGCCAGACCCTATGGGTAGGGCTGTGAAGGTTATGCCTGTCTTGGCTCAGAGCCAGCAGCTCACTGCTGACCTCTGCTGGCCCCAGACCCTATCCATTTCCAGTCTCCTAAAGCAGGGAGGATAGCCCTTGCCCGCTCTGTCCTGGTGTCCCCACCAGCAGCACTCACCTCCTGATGGGGGTCCAATGAGCACAGCCACAGCCTCTAACAGCAACACGAGACCGATGGCACTGGAGAACTTGTGAGTGCCGACGATGGCCATGAGCACCTCAAACTGTAGAGCCCCTACCATGCCATACGAAATGCCAAAGAAGATGCAGAAGACCACCAGGCCACCGTAGTCACTGGCCGTGGAGCCTGTGAGGTCTGTGAAGCCGTTGAAAAACATGGCAAAGCTGAAGAGGTAGACAGAGTAGGGCCGCACCTTCTTGAGGCCTGTGATGAAACCAGCCGTGGGCCTGGCAAAGATGTCGATGAAGCCCAGGATGGTGAGGAGGAAGGCGGCCTTCGTGTCGGGCACACCCAGATCCTTGGCGTAGCTCACCACGAACACCGGAGGCACGAAGAGCCCCAGCACCATGATGGAGGCGGCCACAGCGTAGATGAGGAAGCCACGGTCTCGGAAGACACTCAAGTCCAGAAGGCGCCTGGATGGCCGCTGGGGTGCTTGGGACTCGGTCCCTCCACTTGCCTTGGGCGCCACCAGCGGCCGCATGAGCGCAGCACACACGCAGCAGTTGAGCAGCAGGCCCCCCAGGATGAGGAAGCCACCCCGCCAGCCATAGTGGTCCTGCAGCAGCTGCCCCAGTGGAGACAGCGCACAGAGGAACACCGGGCTGCCCGCTGCGGCCAGCCCGTTGGCTATAGGGCGCCGTTTGTTGAAGTACCGGTTGAGCATGATGAGGGAAGGCTGGAAGTTGAGAGCCAGACCCAGACCTGTAAGAGAGGACAGTGTAAGACCTCAAACGCAGGACGTCCAAGGAGGGCGGTGTGGGGCCCCGTGTCTCCCCAGACCTTCATCCATGCCCCCGCTTCCCTGGACACAGGCTCCATTGCAAATGGTGGTGAGCATCTAGTGGACCAGAGTAGAACCTTAGGCACTGGCCACTCATCTCAGCAAACTCTTAGGACAGGAGGAAAGGGTCCAGCCAAGACGCCCCACAGTGCTCAGATGAGCAGGTCTGCAGGTCCCCCCCACCCCGACTCACCTGTGATGACCCCTGTGGTGAGGTAGATCTGGATAATGCTTTGGCAGAAGGACGCGGCCACCATTCCCAGGGATGCAAAGAGGCCGCCCACAAGCATGACAGGCCGGCAGCCAAAGCGGTTGACACACACGCTGCAGAGGGGGCCTGTGTAGAGATGGGAGCTAAGGGAGCGGCCAGGCCTCCAGCTGGGCTCTGCCCTCTCCCCGCCTTCGGCGCGGGTCACCAGGCATCACCCCCTCATCATTTGCCCCATCCCTCAGCGCTCCCTCACCTGTGCCATACAGCATAGCCAGCAGGATGGAGGAGATCCAGGCCGTGTCGCTGTAGCCAATCCCAAACTCATGCATGAGCTCCTTGAAAAACACGCTGACCGCTTTGGGGAAGGCGTAGGAGAAACCCGTGATGATGAAACAGCCGAAGAGGACGGCCCAGCCCCAGCCCCCATCGGGGGCCTTGATGCCAGTGGGACCATCGTCCACCACAGCACCTCCCATAGCCTGGAGGGCTGGTTTCGCCTCGCCCTGAGAGAAAAGAAACAGAGCTGACTCAGGTTGCCAGGGTGATCATCTCAACGGCAGCCCAGCAGAGGAGGGTGGGGACACCTGGAGGGCCCCAGCATTGGCAGCGGGCCATGGACAGCCCGGTATTGCCAACTGGGGGCTCCCCCTCCCCGGGCTCCCCTGAGCCGGTGGGTACTGTCTGGACCCCTCACTTAGCTGTCTGTTCCCACACAGGTGGCTATAAAGTACAATGACCTTTTTAGGGTTGGACCAGGAGTCACATCACCTCCTAGGAAGAGCAGACCCAAGAAAGCAGCCTGGCTGGTGTTTTCTGGACTTGTGCCGGGCAGAGGCTGTGCCCACCCCTTTGAGGAGGCGCACTCTTGAGTCCTCCCCCAGGATATCTGGGGTGGGTACCCAGCCCTGTTCTCCTACCCCTGAGGAGCTATGCTTCGTCCTTTTCCCCACTCTGGAGTCCCCTTTCTGACTGCCTGGGAGGATGTGGGTCTGGAACAGAGGCAGATGGAAACACAGACCATGGTATCTGAGGGGGGCTTCCTACTTCCCCTGGGAAGAGCTCAGTCGTTGTAACTGCCTAGAACCATCCATGAAGGAGAGGCTGAAGATCCCGATGGGTTCCCCCAGGAAGGCCTGGGGGTTAAGGGAGAACATCAGCCACGGCAGCAGCTCATAACAAACTTATTGGAACAAGGACCAATCTTCTGGCCCCTAGCCGAAAGCAAGCAGGGAGTGTCCCAAAACCCACACCTAACACACACACACACACACACACACACACACACACACACACGTGCTAACTTCCCTTTTCATGAATTTCAGGGGCTTAGCTGATGAGAGACAGAACAAGTCTAGGACCAGGTTTTTGTTTGGCTGTCGACCCCACAGTCACTATTCCCCTAATCCCAGAGGCTGCTTGGCCTCATCCCCCGTCTCACCAAGAATTGAGCAGCAGCAGCGGGGGCAGCCTCTGACCTGAGTTTTCAGTCCAGTCTCCTCAAATGCTGTGCTGCCAGCCAGTACTCTGGGAAGAAAGGTCAATCCACAGTGTTTAAGGGTAGCTTGCGCTGGAATGTAAACCCCGACCAGGAGAGCTTCCCACCTTGGCTGCTCACCCTGGGTCTCTAGGCTCCAGCCCCTGCCCCTTTGCTGCCGTCTTCCTATGAGCACAGTCCCGTGATTGGGACACAGACATGTTAAACTAGACTGTCCGAGGAAGTCCAAGCTTGGCGGGACTCTACCGAGGCTTTTCCTAAGGCTCAGAGACAACACACAGCTCTGATAGGAAGGCTCACCAACCTTCGAAGACTTCACCCTGCTTCTGACCTCTGGCAATAGCCCAGCCTGAGACCCTCCGCACTCTGACCCAAAGGAGAAGTATCATGGCCACAATCAGGACATGCTCAGTGGGAGCCCCAGGTGCCAGGCACCTCTTATCCATCAGCCCTGAGTTTTAAAGGGAAACTTAGTACCGGGAGTGGGGGAGTACAGTTTAGGGCCGTACCATTTTAGAGATGAAGCTAAGACAGAAAGCATGAGGAGGATCCCAGACCCAGTTTGTTACCATGTGCGTGTGTGTGTGTGTGTGTGTGTGTGAGAGAGAGAGAGAGAGAGAGAGAGAGAGAGAGAGAGAGAGAGAGAGAGAAAGAGAGAGAGAAGAGAGAGACTATCTCACAATGGAGCCCTAGTTGGCTTGGAACTCTCTATGTATCCCAGGATGGCAAACTCCCCTGCCTCTAACCCCTCAGTGCTGGGGTTACATCACCATGCCAAGCTTTCTGTTGCACTTTTAAAAATAAATCCAGGGTGGGCAGGGTGGCTCAGTGGCTAAGACAGCCTGGGCTCGATCCCCATGACTTACATGACGGAAGGAGAGAACCCGACTCTTACAGGTTGTCCTGACCTCCACAAGCAATGGCACACACAGGCACACAGATGCCTGTGCCCCCACCCCCGTGTTCACAAAATAAAATGTAAAAAAATAAGTAAAACCCAGTTTCCATACAAAGCAAAGAGGAGAACATGCCCAGAACCAGCAGTGAACACGAACCTAACTCTGGACACCTGAGCACCCGGGCTGTTTCGGGTCTGCCCAGCATTTGTCAAGGTACTAACAAGGATTCCAGCCTTTTGAAGCTTCTCCGCCTTTGTTTATTATAAAGGCTGGGCCCTCACTGGAGCTCTCAAAGTCCAAGGAGGAGAGAAATGGGAACATAATTCCCAGCTGTAGACGAGGCGCCCTCTAAACTGGGCAAGCAAGGTAAGAAGGGTCCACGTTCTGGAGCTTTCCGGGTCCATGGCCGCCATGTAAGGCTGATAATACAGGGAGGGCCACCTTCAGTGCCAAGGATTTGGCAGCACCGAGACAGCTCTCCGCCAAGGCCCCGCACCAGCGTCGTCCTTACCCTGTCTGGCACTAACCACCCTAATGGAGCCTCACCAGCGCCCACCCCAGCTGGTCACCAGAGACCCGGCAGAGAAAGACTTTTCAGGCAGATCAAATGTCCCAACCAGGGGCACAGTTTAAGCCTGCCCTTTAGACTGCATTTGGTCACCCAGGCCTCAGCACATCCCAGTTGCGTAAAAGGTTAGGATTTCCAGCCTGCTTTGAGGTTGAGATCTGCAGGGTAACAGCACAGATGGGCCAAAATGCAGGCCAGTGCCCTAACCCTAGGGCTTCCCCACCTCCAACAGGATAGCCTCAGGCACACCCTAGCCATCTGGCCTTTCAGTGACATTTTACCCTCCCAGGGAAGCATTTGAAGCAGCCCAGAAATAACTCAGCCTCCAGGCCACAGAAAACCGATCTGGGAGTGGGGACTGGGTCAGGAAAGCCTCCAGGGTGCTCCCAAAAGTTGGTCCCTAGAGGCCCTTGGAAGGGCTAACACCACTGGCCGCTGCGTACGGCATAGGTACATGGGAGTCCGTTGTAACATCCCTCTGGGTTCAAGCGCCTGGACTATCAGTCCAAAGAAGGTGTACCAGGTGCCCATGGTGGTCCAAGCCCCGAGTTCTGGTCTGTGGTCCGTTCAGGGCCCCTTAAGTGCCTATCATCCAAGGAGGGACCAGCCTTGGCCCTGCCTTTGTGGTCTAAGTAGGTGACAGGAACTAAGGCAACTATCTTCCTTGGTTAACATTCCAGATTTCCTCCCAAAACAACTAAGCAGCTAGTTGAGGCTAGCACCCAGTACCATGGTGGCAGGGGAAGAAGTTGCTGAAAGACCTCCTTCCAAGTTCGTTTCCTCACTCCCTTCCCCTACCATCATACAAACAGGGATAGCAGTGTGCTCTCCTTTCTGGGCCCTCAGCCCTGAGCCCACCAGCATGTAAAGAATGCCATGGAAAGAAAGGCTTTTTCTGGAGAGGCGTCTAAGGTGCCGCAGAGGTTGGGCCACGGGCTTGCCGGGCCCTCCGCCCCACCTCAGCTGGCCTGCCCAGGCTCCAGGTTGTCCCGTCAGCTCACATCAACTCTGCAGGGACCAGTTTCTGCAGGGCAGAAACACTGGTCTTGTTAGCCAATCACCACCCCACCCCACCTCAGGCCCGAGATCCCTGCAGGGCTGTCCTAGGATAGTTGGGCTCAGAGTCCCACATCGTATGAGGAACCTTCCACGCTTGACTGTCACAAAATGGGGCAGCCCTAGGGACCCGCTCCATCTTGCCGTGGGAGCCCCTTCTCTGCAAGGTTAGGGTCAGCGTGTGGGGCTCTCTCTGGGCCACTTTCCAACAAAGTTCCACCTAGGCCTGCTGGGCATTGCAATGGCCACTCCTCCACAAAGCCAGGATTTAAGGCTAACGGGAGGCTCAGAAGTCATAAGTGCCCCCGAAACTCCCCATCATTGTCTGGCAAGGAGGTAGGTGGGGGTGGGGCTTGGGTTAGTGGCGGCAACCGACCAGACCCGCCTCACTCCATCGGCCGACTGGAGGTAAAGGTCCAGCAAACCTAGGCGGGGCCCAGTGGGTCGGGAAAGGAAGGAAGCTCCGCCCAAGCGGCCTCGGGACGTGGGGGACGTGACCGCGCCAAGGGAGGAGCCGCCACCGTATTGCCTGGAGTAGGCGGTCCTTCTCCACTCCTACCGTACTTTCAGAGTGCGGCGCCACATGCCCTAAGGGGGGGATCCTACGACTCACCCACAGATTCGCTTTCCAGGCGCGCCATTTCCCTCTGCCCTTTGCAAAAGCGAGCCGGGACGCGCGGCCGAGCCTCTGGGATGCTGACCGATGAACTGCGGTCTCGCAGATAGTTCATTAAATGCATCTGCCCCTCTTGGCCCATTCCGCTAATGGAAACTGAGGCCGGAGGCCTACTCTTGCCACTAGGGCGGTCTCCATTCCTGCCCTGCTCCTGTGCCAGTGCCCAGTGCCAGGTGGACCAAGGCCTGGTCCAGAGGGTCTCCATTTGCTAAGCACCACTATCCAGAAGGTCCGACTTGGGGGGGGGGGCAAGGTGCCCTCCTGCACGTGGCTCCTCACCAGCCACCCCGCCCCCCGCCCTTTCCTGGCCAGTTCACAGCAGAAGTGGCCCTAGAGTCAGAAATCCTGGCACACCAGCATACTGTGTGGTCCCACAAACTGACCCCTTCCATATCGCTCCTTGATGGCTCTTATGTTCAGCAATGCTTTCTCCTTGCTACCCCTCCAAATTTAGACTTCCAGACTTCCAGGCAGGCCCTGCCCCAAGGTCACTGGTGATGTGGGCAAGTCCATCTTGGAACCAAACTAATGGTTGTTCAAGGCTTTGTCGCCACCACAACGTCCCTGCCAAGAAGGCTCCACACTTACTTAGGTAGTTCCCCGGTGCCCCTTGAAGGGTAGTAGACCCATCGTTTGCACCGCATCCTAGCTGTGTGTTAGTCCCTGCCCATCCTGAGGGAGCCCCCACATTTTCGGGACTGTCCCCATTTCTCACAGACAGACCCAACATCCACTGGACACCAGCCAACTCTCAGGCCTGTGGAATGAAGCTGAGAGCCCCGGGAGATAACCTCCTGCCCCCTGCATAATCCACCCCCAGGTCTGGATAAGCTATTGTGTTGTATGAGGGAGCCTTGCCATTACGGCTCTGACCATCACAGAAAGCGTTCCTGTCGGCCTGGACATGCAGCCCTGTACGTCGGGTAGAGCAGACTCGATTCTGCGGCCGCCCTTACCCGCCACCCAAACTCCAAGGATCATCGGTCCAGAGTTAGCGGCTTCCCTTGCACTTAAACCTGGACCAGCATCCAGAAAACCCACTTTTCAGGTAAGAAAACCAAGGCTGTGCACCTGGTTTTCCCACGAAATGAGGATAGGACAAATTACGCCATTATGAGGGGAAAACACATTTTTATGTGCCTAGTTTGGGCTAGTAGTGGTGGCTGGGTGAGGGTTAGCGACTTTAAGGTGGTAGTAAAATGTAAAGAGACGGGAGGAAGAAATCCGAGGGCATTCCTTCTCCCAACCATTCCGAAGCGCACGTGCTCCTCTCTCACTTGGCGGCCTGCTGATGCCCGCTGGAGGTTCAGGGTTCCAAGAAGTCTGTATCATTCCCACCAAATATAGCCCAGGCTCTCCGGCCGTCCGGCCACCCTCCAAACCATCTTGGGCCGAGCTATTTATACTGTGGACGTTTGGTCGTCCAGGGCAGCTGCCTCCTGGATGAAGCCCAGCCCCCCGAGGGCTGCCGGATGGATAGGCTTCTGCGAAGGTAGGGAGGCAGGATGCAAACGCGCAACTGGCTGCTCCGGGCAATTTGGTGGAGCTGCAGTGGTGAGAGGATTCTCCAAGTCAGGAGAAACCCAGGGCTGGAGAACCAAGAACGGAGAGGACCAGGAGCCAGGAGCTCCAGGCCCGGATTCGGCACCTGATGAACGAAGGCCCAACCCCTAGGTGACTGGAGGGTCCTTGCCTGGCTCCGCGCGCCAAGCATCCCACCGCGCATCCCGCCGCGCCTACCTGCCACCAACACCACAGCCAGCTACAGCGTCCGCCTCTGCCCGCCTCGGCTGCTCGGCGCCGAGCCGGGGGCGACTTTAAGTGCTCTCATCCCTCGCGCGGCACGTCCCCCGCGCACGTCACCGCTGCCTGGCGCCGCCCCTGCCCTCCCGGTCCGGACCCCACGCTGCTGCCAGAGGGGGCGCCCCAGTCCCTGCGCCCCGACGGCTCGGTCACTGCCATTCTGCACTTACCGGGGAGCCCGGGTCTGATCCCGTTCTATAGGCACCCCGGGCGCGGACCCCACCCAACACGGACCTTCTCACTGGTCTCTTCCGCGCCCTCAGACCCGGGCTGACCGCCTCACTTCCCCCTCGGCACCCCTTTCTGCTCCTCCAATTATTCCTTTCCAAGGCTGTGGGATCCTTCAATGATTCTGGCAAGAGAGTGGCTACCTCCGAGACCCGGACCTTTTTGCCCTCCATACCCAGGCCAGCGTCTTCTACCAGGTCGGCACACGCCCCACCACACCCCATTTACCATGGGCTCCCACCACTTGCCTAAGCTCTCAATCTTTAGGGCTGCTTCCGATCTTCGCTCCCTCCAGACCTTCACATCCTGCCGGTGCCTAAGCCTGGGCTATCGCACGGCGATGGGTGGCGGGGCTGTCTCCCCTGCTTGAGAAGCTAGACCCGCGCACCTTGGACTACAGGGGGATCTTGGGCAAGGCTGTCAGCCTCTCTGAACTTCCGCTTTCCCCTGTGGTTGGGGCCTTGCAAAGCCAGGCACTGACACCACAGCCCTGCTCTGTCACCCAGCCCAGCCCAGTGCGGGTGATGAGAACCTTTCCATCCTACGCCACAAATGCTGTCTGCCTGGAAAGAAAGGATCAGGATTGGGAGAAAGCAGAGCCTCTGACTGGGTTCTTCCCAGTGCTCCGAGTGGGGCGGGCACCTTCAGCCCCTTTTTTTCTCTTCCATACGATGGAAATAACTGACATTTTGGGTGCTAGGTTTGAGGAGGCACCAGGGAGCATGACCTTTGATGGACAGGGCCAGGACGGTTATTTCCGGGCACCCAGCCTTGGCTAAAGAAGCACTCCATCCACTTCTAATGAGGCTCCTAAACAACCCCAGAGTCCCTGAGGCTAGGAAGTTTAGAGCATACATCCAGAATGGGAAAGGGTGACCCCCCCCAAGTCCAGAATGTCACAGCTGTCCACTCTTTTGGTCATGGTAACAGGAGGTTACCGTGGCATTAGCTTTGGCCCCATAGTCCACTATCCTGAGTCCTTACCTACTGAGATGCCCCCACTGCTCTGTTGGACCCTCGGTGAAAAGGGTCATTCAGGGTCTGATCTCCGCCCTCACCTAGGACCTGACATTACTCCAAAGATGCTCCAGAGACCATGAGCTTTCACGGTAAGAGTTTCATGGCCACCAACAAGTGGCATATGGGACCTCCGTCCTAAGGAATGAAATGTATAGTTATAGGCGACTAACTTTTGGGAGGCAGGGCCGCCAAATTTCCAACCTCTGTCACTGAATACGTTACAGATACCCAGACACCGTCCTGCAGATGCGGGGACTCGTCACGTACTCTTCTTGGGCTAACAGTTCAGTGTGGCAGGAGCTTCAGACCAAATAACGAAGGGCTGCCAGCAAGGAAACAGAAACCAAGCCAGTGCATCCAAGGTCTCACTGCCTTCTCCTGTCTCCCAAAGGCCAGGAGCTGCACCCCCCACAGCCAGATTTCTGCAGAGTCTGAGACCTAGAGGACCCAATACTCCATTTTCTGGGTGAATCTAGGAGCATTCAGGACCTAGAACCCACGAGCAAAACTCCCACAGCACAGCCGCTACTGTTATAGCAATGACGTGGGAGCTGTCTCTGTACCAGTGTCCCGTCTGCCCACCGTGGGCTGCACCAGCTCAGGATGCCCTGTTCTGAAGGGAAGGTACCTGGGAAGATGTAGCACTGCCCAGTGATCCAGCCAGATCCGGCCCTGCTCTCCACAATCCTCCATGTCCCTCCAGGCGTCTTACCATCTGTCCCACCTCCTCCCATTCCAGTCTACGCTTCAGGTCCCATCAGGCCCTGGAATGTGCTCTGAGGAGACGGAGTGGCTAGAACCCTGGGGGACATGGACTTTCCCAAGATCCCTGCCCCTGGGAACCATGGGACGTGAAGGATCTATCGCCAGTGTTGAGCAAGCGTCCAGTCTCCCAGACAGGTTGGAAGCCAGGCTTCTCCCCTGTCTCCAAAATGATCTTAGAAACAGGGGAAGAATTTTTTGAAGGTTCTGCTGGCAGCTGCCCCATGGACGGTGGGTGAAAGATCAAATGTGTCCAGTGAGAAGTCGGGAATCGTCCAGATTCTGCAGAACTGTACAGATGTGGAGATTCTTCATCATCCCTCAGATTATAGCCTAGTCGCCGTGCCTAGCCAAGTCCACATAAACCACCCAGCGCCAGTTGCTACCCCATGATGGACTGAGGCCAGGACAAGATGGGTCAGGTGAAGAAGGCCAAGTTGCTGGAACATTCTGTCCCAACCACAGCTCCCATTCCTGGGGTCCCCAGCTGCCTGGCTCCTGCCCCTGCTCCCTGAGTGTTCCCTGTCCAGGGGATCTAGTGACACACTCCTGAAGTTGTTACTCCACACCTAGGGCCCTCTTCCTCCAGGCCTTGCCGGTGCAGTGGGATGCAGCCTTCCCAGGCCCAGACTGGAAAGGAGGACGGCTGTGTGAGCCTCACAGAAGCAGAGCGCTCACAGGACATAGCCTGGACCCAAGACCATGGGTTTGGGACCAACCCATTCCTTCATTCTACACTTTCCCCAGGGTTTTTTTCCTTCCCAAATCCTCTGGAGAAAATAAAAACAAAAAAACAGATTAGCCTGGCGGTTGCTAAACTTTCCCCAGAGAGTGGGCAGTTGGGAGAAATGAAACCTCAGCCCACCCCAGCCACACACACACACACACACCTGTGCTCTGTTGTTGTTGGGTGTTTGCTCTTGGGTGATGAGTAAGTGTTGGGTATGTTTGTATAGGTGTGGGCATTGAGGTATGAGTGTTGGGTAGGTATTGGGGGTGTTGGGTAGGTGTTATTCCTGGGCGTTGGAGGTATTGGTGTGTTTGTGTGCTGTGAGTAGGTATTTGCACGGGGGTGTGCCTGTGTGTTGGGTATATGGTATATGTTTGTTGTATGTGTTTGTATGGAGGTGGCTGTGGGTAAGCATGGATCTTGGGTGTTTGTCCGTGTCTGTGTGGGTGTATGGGTGTTGGAGATGTGAGCTGGAGTGTTGGGTGTTGGTGTGTTAATATGTGTGCATATGATATGTGGTGGGAGAGGATGTTGGGCATTGGATGTTGTGGTATGTCTGTTCTATGTGTGTAGTTTTGGTAGGAGTTAGGGGTGTGAACTGGGGTGTTTATTTGTATGTGCGTTCATGGTCCAGTGTGAATGTTGGGTTGTGGATGTGTGGGACGGTTGGATGTGTGTAGTCTAACAGGAACAACCGACTGCTGCTCAGACCTTCCCGTCGGTAGCAAAAACAACCCACATCTTCTAGAGCCAGAACTGGACAAGAACAGCACTCCTGGAACTCATAGGGCCATTAGGACCCCAGGCAGTGATTGCAGGGTCATGGGGACACGGACCTAGGTGGGTAACCCTGATCTGGATTTCAAATACATCAGTTTTCCCCTCCTCCCACTTCTGCCCATCTGGGACTGACCTCTCCCCAGCCAGCTTCTGATGCTCTCCGGGGCTCTCTGCTAAGTGTCCCTCAGACATCCACGAACAGGCAGCAGCAAGGGTGAGGGAAGGAACAACAGTCGCACAGGCCGTGGCCTCAGGAAGCAGCTGGGTGTGGATCGTTTGCAATAGTCAGGTGTTTGAATACATGAGCAGGATGTGCTCCGCAGCTAAGCAGGCCATCCAGGACAAAGCAAGATGCAGACTTGAGGGCAGAGGGAAGCCTTGTTTTTCTGTTAGGATTGCTCATGTACAGAAGGGTGTGGTAGCACACACAGCAGTCTCAGAACCCAGGGGCTGAGGCAAGAGGATTTGGAGTGTGAGGCCAGTCTGGGCTATGTGTGCGCGCGCGACACACACACACACACACACACACACACACACACACACACACACACGACTTCCTGTCTTGAAAGTATAATCAGCTCAAGAGGGATGGCTTTGTGGGTAAAATGCTTCCTGCGCGAGCACGAGTGTAAATGAAATATGCTACCTTCGCTATCGAAGGGTTAAATGAGATCACGCAAATTCCATCTGTAAAGAACTTAGGTCAGGAAAGATGGCCTGGGGGCTAAGAGCAGTTGCTCTTGCAGAGGACCCAGGTTAGATTCCCAGCAGCCATATGTTAGCTCACACTCCTGTCCCTGGAGACCAACGACCTCTTCTGACCTCCAAGGGCACCAGGCACGCGCTTGATGCACATAGTGCATGCAGGCAAAGCATTCACAGACATAAATTAATAAAACATAGTCTGTAAAAGGTTTAATTGGTTTGTTTTTATTTTGTGTGTGTTGGTACTTTGCCTGCAAGTATGTCTGTGTGAAGGTGTCAGATCCCCTGGAACTGTAGCTACAGACAGTTGTGAGCTGCCATGTAGGTTCATGGGAATTGAACCCAGGTCCTCTGGAAGGGCAGTCAGTGCTCTTAACCACTAAGCTGTCTCTCCAGCCCCTAAAAAGAGATTTGTAAAGACACCATCTGGCCAGTCTCCCTCTCCAACTCAGCATCTTTCTAAGATAAAAATATATGCTCAGGGTTGCAGCTCGCTGCCAAAGGTTACACTTAGCTTATCAGCTGCCGCTGTGCCATTTGAAGTGAGCCCACCCTTCAAAGAATGTGAGGCTGCCAGGCAGTGGTGGCGCACGCCTTTAATCCCAGCACTCGGGAGGCAGAGGCAGGCGGAGCTCTGTGAGGCCAGTCTGGTCTGTAGGAGCTAGTTCCTTCCAGGACAGGCTCCAAAGCTACAGAGAAACCTTGTCTCAAAAAACCAAAAATAAAAAAAGAAGAAGAATGTGGGGCTGAGCTGTGACCACTCAGAGTGAGGTGCACAGCCCCTTTGCATTGGGAATAAAAACCCAGTGGAAACTCCTAAGCACACTGCATTGCTGAATTCGCATGGCTTTGCATCCTTCTGCGCAAGTAAAATTCTTGTATCGCTGAACTTCTTTGGATAGTTGGACATTTTCTTGGGAACTCTCCCCCCCCCCTTTTTTTCCCCTGTGTAACAGCCCTAGCTGTCCTGGAACTAGCTCTGTAGACCAGTTGGCTTCAGACTCATAGAGATCCACCTGCCTCTGCCTCCCGAGTGCTGGGATTAAAGGCGTGCGCCACCACTGCCCAGCTTGGGAACCATTTCTAACATCAGGATTCCCAGGACCAATGTAAAAGCTAGGGCTGGCAGCTTATGTCTATAACCTCAGCAAGGGGGTGGTGGCAGACAGAGACAGGTAGAGCCCTGGCTACATAGCCTATGCAAACCAGAATGCTCCACGTTCAGTGAGAGATCTCGTCCCAAAACACAAGGGGGAGGCTGGAGAGATGGCTCAGTGGGTAAAGGCGCGGTCTACACAAACCTGACCACCCCAGTTTCATCCCCACAACCCACACAAAAAGATGCAAAGGTGAGTACCTGCAATCCCAGCATTCCTGTGGAAGGGTGGGGCCTGACTGAAGAAACCCTCAGGGCAGTTAGCCTGAAGAGTGTGGTGAAACAGCAGAAACAAGAGGAGACATTCCGTCTCAACAAAGCAGAGCAGACGATGGCTTCTAGGAGTTGTCCCCTGACCTCTGTGCATTTGTCATGGCGCCCTCGAACTCCAAACTCTCTCTCCCACATGCACAATAACTTGCTTTTTAAAAAGACAGAGTGATTGAGGGAGACGTCCTGGTTGACCATAACCCCATATACATCGGAATGGGGGAGTGCATCCACGTAGCACGTCCACATGCAAAGCCCAGGTGGCCAGAAGGACACCCCAAGTGTGGTGCCTCTCACACATCTTCCTTCCTACTTCCCCAGACCACCCTCTTTCCCGCAGGATATTTTGCTACTCGTGTGTGGTTCACTCATGTTTAAAATCGAAATGAAATCTACCTAACGTGCACTTATACAGAAATGTGGCGTCCAGTGTCCCCGAGTGTTATGTAACCGCCAGTCTTCTCCGGTTTCAAAATCTTTCCATCGCCATTACAGCATCCACTAGGTAGTCACTCTGCACCCACTGGCAGCTGTTTCTGTATTTTCTGCTTCTTCCTCTGTGGACATTTGATGTTCATGGAAGCTGTGTGTGTGTGTGTGTGTGTGTGTGTGTGTGTGTGTGTGTGTGTGTGAAACGTAGGGCCTTGTACCAGGCAAGTGATCTGCCGTTGGGCCACACTTCCAGACATTTTTCTTCCTTTTTATTTTTATTTTTTTGACTTCTTTTTTTTTCTTCCTTTTTACTTTAAGACAAGGTCTCACTAAGTTTCCTAGGCAGGCCTTGAACTTGCAATCCTCCTGCCTCAGCCTCCCAAAGCAGCTAGGATTACAGGCCTGGCTCAGTAAGTGGCCTTATGTGACTGATTTCTTTCACTGACCATAAAGTATTTCAGCTCTTTTAGACTGAATTCTACCCCATTATTCACACAGAATGTATTCTGTGCATCTGTTCGCCTGTTGATGGACATTTGGGCCATTACGATCTCTTGTACGTAAATGCCCATAAGAGTGTTAGTCACGATAGTCGAGTCTTTGTATAGACATATGTCTCCATCTTTCCCAGAGGTACACGTAGGAGTGAAATTGCTGGCTCACACAGAACAGGAATTGCGTGTTTAGCTTCAGGAGGAACTACCAAGCAGCTTTCCACACCACCTGCCCCATGTCACACTCCCACCACAGAGCAGAAGACTTCCAACTTCTCCATGCTCTTGCCAACACCATTTTCTCTGGTTGTAGGTTTTCTGTTTTAACTTTTATTAAAAATCATCCGTATGAGTATGGAGCAGCAGCTCACATAGTTTTGATTTGCATTTTTCAAGTGACTAGTAATCTGAACATCATGACTTTGCTTTATTTATTTATTTTTATTTGGGTGCTGAGAATCGAACCCAAGACTCTGCAAGAACAAGTGCTCATAACTCTGAACTATCTCTCCAGTCCCATTTGTTTGCTTTTCTGTCACATTGTGTGTGTGTGTGTGTGTGTGTGTGTGTGTGTGTAGTATGTGTGGGGAGTGCTTCAGCACATATGTGCATGTGTCTGCAGAGGCCCAGCATTGACAGATGTCAGATGTCTCTGTTGGTTGCTCTCCACCATATTCATTGAGGCAGAATTTCTCATTGAATCAGATCTCACCATTTACTAATCTGCCTACCTAGTTTGCCAGAGAGATTCCCTGTCTCCTCTTCTGATGACGTAAGTCATCAAAACAATTCCACACCTGATGGAGGAAGGTCATTGGTTAAAAAAATAAAGAAACTGCTTGGTCCTCATAGGTTAAAACATAGGTGGGTGGAGTAAACAGAACAGAATGCTGGGAGGAAGAGGAAGTGATCTCAGACTCGACAGCTCTGCTCTCTGGAGCAGAGGCCATGCTCCCCTCTCCCAGGCAGACGTGATGAAGCAAGCCACCAGGTCAGACATGCTGAATCTTTCCTGGTAAGACTGGTGCTACACAGATTACTAAAAATGGGTTAGGCAAAATATGAGAATTAGCCTGTAAGAGGCTAGAGCTAGTGGGCCAAGCAGTGTTTAAAATAATACAGTTTGTGTGTTGTTATTTTAGGGCCTAAGCTAGCCAGGCGACCAGGAGCTGGGGCGGCAGGACCACAGC